CCAGTAGAAAAGTTGCAGCTACAAGGCGTTTCCTGGTATTTAGAGCTGGACTAGATCTATTTCCCAGTTTCAATATGAACAAAACAGGTCTGAGTGACACTTTCCTCACTGTCCTGTTGGAATATTTAGGCCTAGAAGTCCCGTCTATCTTGACCCTAACTACCAGAACCCTGTGTGTTCATGTTTTGAGGGACTTGTGGTAAACCATCCAACATTTAGTTTGCAAAACTACTAAACACAGCTGTAAGACACACATCAAACATGTTTTTACAGTAGTGTTGCACTGTTTAGGGTGGTGTGGGATACTGTGTGGGTGGGTGATGACGGGGGATGTTAGGATTGTACTGGACAGAGACAAGCGACAGAACAACACACTGAGAAAGGCTGCATTGTCCTTCCGTCCATTTCACTGGACACAGACAGAGAGAGGTTGGCTGCCATTTGTAAATGCAAAGAGTAGGAAAAATGGTAACACTTTGTGTTTTCTTTTGCCACTTTGTCAGTTTTTTTGAACAGTTTTCTATTAAAATATTGTTACATGTAGCTACAGCTCAGCATAGTTTCATTACAACACATTTAACCTGTTTAACACTTGTAAGGAGACTACCAGAGGCATTATTTGTATTTATTTTCAATCAAAGTGACATAATTTTTGGTTTATTTCATGTGTTTTACACATTCTGAAAGAAAACTGTGCTTGTGTGTTAAAAGCATGATGTTAAAATATGAACTCTTTAAAAATGACTCAGTGAAAATTGATGAGCCCCGTTTAAAGAGCTGGATTCAGAGCTGTGACAGGCTGTTGTACACGGGCTTTTTATTCCCAAAGGTGCATCTAATCTCAACAATGTCCTATTTGGCCAAAGTTGTCATACTGTTCTCCAACTGTCGTCACTTGGGTTTAGGACTTATGTGATACAAATGCTTGGTTTAGAATTTGCTGGCCTGAATATGACATTCCAACCTTTTTGGATGTTTTCTTTCAAATATGAAAAAAATATATATTTTATCTGTGAGAGATCTATATCAGGAACATCTGACCTAAATTTTTGTTTAAAATCGTTACTTCTGAGTTGTTTGTTCTCCAAAATAACACACCAAACTAATGTAAGTGATCATGTGTCTGAGATAATGCCAAAGATTATGTTTACATGACAAATTAACTGAAAGGTTTGTGTGTGATTATGTAAGCATATCTGAAAAACAATTTACACAGGCATAAAACATAGAATATTAATATTACTCATTTTATACATCTCATATTTACCTGTAAATGCATAAAACAAACTCTTAACTGCAAGAATGTTATAATACTACAATATGTGAAGTACACAGATTCACAACAATCATATGAACACTACAGTGAAATATCTGCTCCTTGTTTTGTCATCAAACAATTCTAATATAAAGACAGACTTTAACAGTTAAATGCATGAAAAGATCAATTGTTCAAGCGAGAAACAATGTGAATTTTCCCATAAATCTACAAGTATTATGCAAATACTGTCAGTTGAAGAACAGCATCGCTCTTACCTTATCAGCTGATCTGATCAGAAGCCAGTGAGGAGCCCAGTCGTCCTCCCTCCTTCAGCGTTTGTTTTCTCTGCTGCTCTCCCTCCCTCTCATTCACTCTCTGTGTTAGCAGATTGGCTCTTTGGCATACAAACCTGTGATTCTGGGAGGTGGGGGTGGCACTGAAAGGCAAACACTACAGTTATTTAATTAAAGGACAATAAATAATCACTACTGGAATGCAAGTATGATTACAAATATAATGTACATGTAGGAACAGCATTGTTACCATATGAGGAAGATGTTGGTGATTTATCCAACCGCCCATCCATCCTCTGTACATCCCGCTCAGGGTGTTAGCTTGTTTCAGCAGACAATAAATGTGAGGTGGGGAACTCTCAAAAGCGCCTCACCTGTTCGTGTGTGTCGTCATTGAATCAACACAGAGCCACATACACATATACTCATAAGTCAGTTTAAAAGCCACAATAGCATAACATGCTTTTTTTTTGTCACACACGCACAGGATGAACATGTATAAAACTTCCCACAGACGGAAGTAAACAGTTGGCAACATTTGCAGCCCTTTGTGCACAATCAAACTGTGTGAGTAAGCACTTTATATTTGCATATTCAGAGTAAAAAACGGAGTAATCATGTTATTAATCAGGCTTTCTGATGCTCCTTCCCAATGTGATGTCCTCTCATCTGTTACACAAGAACTGTGAAGCGTTAGTTACGTTAGTCTTAAAAAATAAAACTAAGCTGTAATAAAATGTGACAGCTATTTAAAAAAAAATATTAATTATAAATTCTGACAAAGCTCTGTAATATAAATTTATAACCCAACTTTAGAATCAAAGGATATTTTTTTAATCCAATTATTTCACAGCAGCTATATGCACTTGTTTCTGCAGAAAGCATCCTCACTCTCAACATCTAATTATTTATTGGCTTTTGCATCAGGAAACAATTTTGTGGTAAACCAGTACAAGTAAAAAATGAATATTCCTGTCAAAGAACTGAATAAACCCTTCAAAATCATATCTGTTCATCACAATTACAGAAAAAAAGTTTCATAAATACCATAAAGTGTTTAATGATGCTACACAATTCAGTTTTATGTAACATTACTTAAAAGAGGCATGGACAATGGACAGATTATCATGGCTCTAGAAATAAGACATTTAACATTGTCACCATCTCTTGGCTGGCCTTTTGAGTAAACCTTATGGCTTTCAATTGCACTTGAACACAGAAAACTACTCCTTGGCACAATGACAAACCTCAGTGTTGGAGTGATTCAGTTAGAGTTCATCTTAGAGCCACAGTCCAACTCTAAAGCAGGAGAAAAGTAAATTGCTAAAGCCACAGGCTTTGACAGTTAACTCTAACTGTACTATTAGAAACATGATGGTTATAGATACAAATTCAACAGCTAATTAAGTGTCACTAATCTTAGATTAATATTAGGATGGTTTGCAAGCTATGAAAAGTTGTACTGTGCATGGCAATTGTTGCCTTTTGGTTGAAAAACTCCAGTCTGTTACCATCATGCTGACTTTTACATTTTATTGGAAAAGGGCCTCCCACAGAATAAAGCGTACATCAACAAGAGTACTGCATGACACACAATATACACTATTGCTGTCATTTCTGACCCAGAGCCCAGCTCGACCTGGATTAGAGCCGGGCCGGGCCAGTGTCGGGCTTTTGATTGTGTCAGCAGACGTGCGCAGCTGACAATTCAATTATATGGCAACATGGCTTGCCATACAGTCACCAGCCGCATGCTGCCATTTGACTGAGCGCTGACTGGCCGGTTGAAAGAAGTTTAAAAAAAGTTCAGTTAAGCTTCAGATGGACGACTACCAGCGATCCATCGCCCAAATGGGCGTTCATTCAGCCGCTGTACTCAAGAGAACGTGCACAGCCCCAAACATGCGAGATCACAAAATATTCAACGTCAGAGTAGGGTCCGTGTCTGAATAATGCAGAATGCAGGTAGAAACGGGGATTTAATGCGCTCTGACGGTCATGAAAGGACAAACACCCCCTCAGCTCCGATCTTCTTCCCTTTTATTCAGCCGCATGCGTCCGCCGTTAATGACTATATAAGCAGTCTAAGCTTAATTAAAAATGTCGGGGGGGGGGGGGGGGGGGGTGTTCGGACCTGTAATTATTGTTAATTTGTCAGGTTGGGTGGGATTTGGAAATGATGGCTACAGGCTGGGGCCGGGTCGGTTCGGATTGTTTGGGCCCGAACGCAACTCTAATATACACCTATCAAAAAACTTAACATTAAGGGGGGAAAAAATATAACAACATTAAACTCCATAAACAATAACACGCAACTGAAAGACACATTAAATACAAACAATACAAAACTCATTACTGGAAATAAATGAATAGAAACTATTATACTGCGATACAGAAATCTATGGCGGTGGCCCGGACCAGCAAAGACCTTGAAAAGATGAGAGCTGGGGAGATGGAAAGACTACGCAACATGCTGTCCTGTCATGGTAAAAATGTGCCACGTTTCATTGGATTATCTTGAGTGGATCACATGTACACATGTGGGACAAGCAAATGCTCAAAATAAAATAATAAAACCTTGACCTTGACATGACCTGGACGTGACCTTGATGCTGGGGTGATTAAAGCGTACACGACACTCTGGTGATGATGACTGTGTGAATGAAGATAAAATATCTTGAAAAAAGATCAGACGTTATGGGTTGGACAAGAGAAAGTTTATATAGATGGACAGATGGGGTCTATACCATAAAACGTATAATACAGGCGTATCAAAACTAAAGTGAAGCTCAAATTTTCCTTTACAATGAAGCTTGAGCAGAAAAGTGAGCACTGTTAACCATGAATAAGTAGCATTGCAAGTATATTTTAAGCATCATTTGTATTTTTTAAAGTGTGTGATCAATATGATGAGGTTTGTCTTGGTAAACTTGGTGCAATTTGAGATTTTTAACCCTTTGAAGGTACATCATAATCTAGATTGTAGGAAGAAAAAAAAACGATGTGTGAAGCATTCAACACCCATGTCATTCTTTAAATGGGGGACATTTATTTGAATTTTACTGTGTTGAATAACATTTTATCAGTATGAAAACTTTAATAGTTAGTAATCTTTAAACACAAAAACAGAACTATGGATGATGCATCGACTCGTGCTTCAGAAGCATCTTATGTGCTTTCTAGTACTTCAGCATATAGAACTACCCAGTACTTCAGTTGTACTTTTGTCTCCATGTTGAGTGCAGATTATGCTGTCAAACCAGGTAAACATCAAGATAAACAAATCTGTAGCTTATAAATCTCCTCCACTAACTGACTAGAGCTTTGGTCTGATTTATTAGTTTGTAAAGTTTTCATTTTAAAAGTTTCTAAATGCATCAAACACCACTGAAACAAGATGGTGACATCTAGTGGAGAAACAGTTCAAGCCAACTACATGATCTTGCAACAAAAGCTTTATTGTAAAAAAAAAAGATTTAGTTACATCATATTGAACATTTGCATATTTGGAGATAAACTAGTCAGCTGTACAGCATTACTGCAGATTAAAATCAAAACATTGGGGGAAAAAGTAGAATTATAAAGTAGTTTGTTCAGCAGGTCTCTAAAAGCGGACTAACACGATGACAAGCAATAAGCAAAGATAAAAACAATCCATTTAAATGTACACAGGTTCATTAAAAACACGTTTTTTTACAAGTACAAAAACAGAACATATACAAACAGCAAAGATCTTGTCGAATCCGCACAAATATTGTTCACTGGAACTACCCACAAGTTAATAATCGAACCCAATTACAACAATTATATGTCAAAAAGTAAATATCTAAACAGACAACAGATTTATTATGAGGGAGTTTACATTTCAGTTCAAACTGTACAATATAAGGCACTTGTGGCAGCCACAAAACTTTATACAAGGAAAAGCACATTAACTTTTTATACGTACCTCTTCCCAGTAAAAATAAAAAAATATATAATATTCAGCATCAATTTGAGCTCAGTATAAAACATAAATCAGCACAGCGCACTAGCAGTGTGAGTAATATTTATATACAGGGTAAGAAATCACCTATTTTTGAAATAAAAGATCAAAGCTGAATCTGACGTCATGGTTGGTTTTACACCACCAGGCTCTCCCGACTCACAGCTCCATTCTGAAAAACAGCAACAGACGTGTTGACTTCAAAAACAAAGCAGGAAAATAGATTTAAAATTATATTTCATCATAGTCAGGGATCTGTAACACCTTGACAAGAAAACAATCTTTGTCCGACTTCATCACTTAATGTATGGCAATATTTAAAATCTTAATTTTTGTCATGATTTTTAAAAGCTAAAATTTTCAACTATTTAAAATAAGAGTTATTAAAGTTGTCAAGTAAGTGGTTTTAGTCTAAGATAATAAACAGTTAAAGATTCAGAGCGGTAAGGTAGTGTATGTCCAAAAATACTTTAAAGCTAATCTAATGTCAACCAGAGAAATTGCATTTCCTATGAAAATGCAGTGTGAATGCTTATTGCAGAAGAACTTGCTGAAAAAAGCTGCAAGAAGCTAAAACATAATTCTGAAATGTAGCCGAGATGGAAGAACAAGCCTTCTTTAGCATAAGAAAGCAGAAAGTACACGTTTGCTGAATTAGGTTTAAATGAGCAGAAATTGGCAAAAGAATTAGGAAATTACAGTAGCTAAAAAAAAGCTGAAATTAGCTAAAAAATAGCTGAAAAGACAGAAGGAAGCTTAAACTATAGAAGGAAGTAGAAAGAGCTGAAATGAGCTTAAAAAATGTGGCATTATATGAAAAAGTTAAAGACAGCATCAAAAGAGCTAAATAGTACCAGCAAGAGCTAAAAAAAAGCTGAAAGTAGCAGAAAAAAAAACTGAAAGGAGCATAACAAGCTGAAATTATCAGAAAGAAGTTAATTAAGCTGAAAGTAGCAAAAATTACCATGAAAAACTTGAATTTATCCGAACAGCTGAAATTTGCTAGAAAAATGCTAAAAAGTAGCTGAAAAGGTAGAACTAGCTTAAATTAGCAGAAGAAAGCAGAAAGAACATGTTTGCCCATTTAGGCTGAAAGAAGCAGAACTGAGCCAAAAATGTAGAAATGATGCGGAAAAAAACTTAAATTAGCAAAAAAAAAATAAAAAAGTACAAAAATTGTGGAACGAGAAAGATGCTGAAAAATGTAAAGAAGAAAAATTGACCATAAATTGTAAATGCTTCATAAACATTTACACAACAATGAAGATCGTTTCTTGCTTGTTTCAGATCTTTGTTTTAGATCTCTGCTACAATTGTTTACTCTCACTGTTTATTAGAAAACATTTGTCTTAAAGTTAAAACTTCTATACACCACAAGGTCAATTTGCATGTTAATACATTTTTGGTGACTTACCTTGCGAAGATTGCTTTTCTTTGAAGACGGCACACTTTCATTGTCACTGTATGAAGGCGGCTGTGAAGATGGGTAGTCATCATGGCGACCAGGATATCCAGAGGGGGGGCTCATAGGAAGTGGTGGGGGCCCACGTGGCGCCCTGTCCCGATCCAAGCGGTCGCTTTCACTATCCAGGCGCTCCCGGCTGCGTGCCCTTTGCTGCTCGCCCAGCTTCTTCCTCTCCATGGCTTCTCGCAGGAAACTGTCATCGTAAGCCTCCCGGCCAGACCTGCTGCCATCGCCACACCGGTAATCCCGCTCCAGCTCAATCAGATCGTCACGACTGCGGCTGCGTCGTCCCACCAGGTCGCTGGAGCCCCCATCGTCTCTTCTCCTACGACTGTCAGGAGAATAGTCACGACGTCTGCGGTCATCGTAGTCTCGATCGTAGCCACTGCGAGCGCTGGTGCTCCACTCGTCATCCGAGCTAAAAGAGCACAAAGCAGAATATTGCAGCTTTATCTAAAACAGTCAATAAGGCCTAAATTAAAAGTGTTTTTTGGTTGTTGTTCAAAGCTAACGCTAAAGCTAAGGTGATGCAAGAAAAAGCTAAAGCTAAGGTGATGCAAGAAAAAGCTAAAGCTAAGGTGATGCAAGAAAGGGAAATAATTTTAATAAAAATCAAAAGGCTTCACTTCAGTCACTTCAGCTGTTTTTAACAGACTCTGCAGTGGTTTCACTCACATATATGTTTCTTTTTTAGTCCGTTAGCTTCAACAGAATGCATTTTTGGTCCCAAAGCCAGACCAGTAAAAAAACACACCAACAAATTACAAACATTAAATAAAATGTTAAGAAAAATAATGACCCACTATTAGGATACTTCATTAGAAGTACTTTTCTGCATCTTGTACACAAATAAATGCTAAAGATAATAATAAATAAATAAATAAATACCACCTGTACTACAATTTAAAACAGATAGTTAGTGAATGGCTGTGCACAAATAAAATAAACTTATCCAAAACTATCTATAAGTTTTTAGAGGATGTTTGAGATGAAGGCATGTTTGTTGAACTTCAGTTGCACCAACTGCAGAACAAAACCACTGAAACCAGCAGGAAACTCCCACAGATCAGATATAGACACTCAACCTATTTTCACCTCCTGCAAAAGCTACAAAAAGCTGCTGAACTGAGCAAATTGTTTTATTTAGAAAGACCATTCTTTGAAATTGTCGACTGTCAAAAGACAATGTGGTATCTTCATAAACTTTTGATTACATAGAGCGGCTGTGGCTGAGTGGTTAGAGCAGTCGTCCTCCAACGCAAAAGTTGGGGGATCGGATCCACCAGCAGTCACATGCCGAAGTCCCTGGGCAAGACACTGAACCCTCACTGCCTCCGATGTGTGTCCCAGCAGTGTATGAATGTGTTAAAGCTCTGACTAGTCTCTTTAGAATGATTTCTTCAATTAGCTTTGTAGATCTAGTGGAGTGCTGTATGAATGGGTAAATGAGGCACAGATTATGTTGTAAAGTGCTTTGAGTGTCCTGAGAAGATAGGAAGGTGCTATATAACTACAGTACATTTACCATTATGTCCTCAGATAAACAGTGTTGCTACTGTTAAAAAA